TGCTGAACCCATGTTGGGTGGGCAGAGGCTTACCGTGCTTGTGACTGGCTGTTTCTGAAACCGGTTGTTACTTGTGTAGTTTCAGACTGTATTTAGAAGATGCCATTTTAAAATTTAATAGTGATGCATGAGCCAGGCAAAGCTCTGTTTTCTGAGAATTTGGTGGGTTTGCCACTTAAAAATTCTGCCTTTTCTCCCTTCTTGCTTTATTACTGCAAACTGTTATGTGATTGTGTGCCAGGGAGCTGTTACTATGACTGGATTTGATGGCTTTTGGTTGTGTGTTTTTTTTTTTTTTTTTTTTAAGATAGTATGTGTACAACCTCAGTACAGAGATCTGTGTTGCAAATACTGTCCTGAAGCTACTGATGTTTTGCTCTGTACTTGTGTTCTATGTAGCACATAGATAAAATCACCCTCCAGATGTTAGGTGCTGTAAAGTAGTCATGGATCTGGGAACAATACTGAAGAAATAAGGATGTGATTTATACTTCAGTTTTTGGAGCTCTTCATCTTTAGCTGTATTATTTTTTTCAGGCATCTTCCCCAAAAGCCGTCTGAGGATATCCAGGAATTTGTCAGTGATGTAGCTTATAAAATGGAGCTCCTGCAAATAGAAAACATGGTTTTGAGCCCGTGGGTGCTGGCTGCTGCTGTCCTGCTCCAGAATTTGCCAGCTGTGGATTTTGAACTTCTAATAGAAAAGACCCTGTGGCTTAAAGGCTTAACACGGACTTTTGGAGGATTCATTGAATGGCCTGGTATGCAGAGAAGTGTTATTTCTGTTCCTTTTGTTGGTTCTGAAGGACAATTTATATTTTCTGTGAAAGCAATGTGTGGTGACAGCTTTACAGAGCGTTTTCCTCAGAGTTGTAAATGGATTTTAGGATATGCTAAAATTGATGCTAAAATCTGAAAAAATTTTTTACTTCACCTGTAGAGGATAATACTTTGAAAAACAGGTGGAAGCAGAACAGATATTTTACTGTTATATCCTGAAGTGTGGAATGAGGGGGAAATGATAAGCAATTTGTGTTTGCCAGGTGTCTGCCTTTCTGAACACTGTGTAAGTCACAGGCAGTTACCTGATCTGCAGCAGTTAATTTGGTGTACTGCTGTGTTTATTCCTTGGTACTGGCTACAGTGTAAGTTGTGACTGTCGCAAAGAACTAGTGGAAACAAGTGGGTGAGAGCAAATCAAAATGGTAAGTTGTTTATTTTTAAATTTCACTCTATCCCCAGAAACAGTGATGACTTTGGGGAAGAAGGCTTCTTTATTTATACATTTATACACACAGATTTTTTTTTTATGCATATAATATACACACATATATAAAAATATGGGCCGATGAAAGGTTGATTCTCCTTCCAAACTTTCTGAGTAATTGTTATAAGCTTCTCTCTATGAGCCAAGGTGACATAGGTAATTAATTTTAGAGCCCTCAGGATATAAATGGTAAAGTTAACAAGGAAAAAGAATGTGTTATGCAAATACCTTCACCTTTTTACAGTAGGTAGGCTTAAACTATAGATCTTTGCTGCTGTTGTTATATGTATAATCAAGGATCCCTATTGTTACTGCAATACAGAGATAGGAGCAGGCTGCAGTTGTAACAGAACTCCATCATTTCTGGAAGAAAACCACTTGTCCTTTCACGCATCTGCACTGCAGTGCATGCAGGCAGAGTCTGCTCCTGCCAGACTGGTAAAAGGAAGAATTTCATGGCAATAATTAAACATAATTTAGAATCTTACTGCACAGTAAACTAAGAAGCATACCATATTTGGGTTTGCTTATTTATTTTATTTTCTTAGCAACAGTGAATAAACATTTGCTTTAGTAGAGTTGTGATGTAGTCAAGGAGTAGCAAATGGACATGGTAATGAAATGGAGGAATCACAACTGAGCAGATTTTGCTGAAGTGTGCTGGCCCTGCTCTAGGCATAGAAACAAGGCTTTCTGTTTTGATTTGTGTTGTCAGTAGTTTGAAAGAATAAAGACATTTTAAAGGCTTATTTGGCAACATCAGCAAGTCAGCAACTACATGTACCCTGTCCATTCTTCTGTCTCCAAACAGCTGGTTGTTTCTGCCTTTCCATACTGGTTGGTTGTTACAGGCAGAATATTTGCTTGAACTACAAAATTACTTGCTCAGGCTGCTGCTCTTACTGCATTGAGAAACTTGGGAACTTTAATAAAACTGGAACAAAGTAGGCTGAAGGAGCAAGTAAGATGCAGGGAGATTCTATGTGAAATTTATGTTAAGGGGAAAAATTTATTTTTTTTTTTTTTTTGTCAGAGGCTTTATTGATTTGATGTACTTGTGATGCTGCAAACATGTAAAGAGTATTTTAGTGTTCAGTAAGAAGTTTTTACTGCCTCTTTCCTTGCTTCTCAAAGAGTTCACATTTGATATAAGAAATGTTTTGGTAGTGTTTGAAGTGTAAGGTGTTCTAAAAATGTGAATGTATTTTCAAGACTTGAGATGCTGTGCTTTATCCAAATAAAGTTTGTGGTGTGTCATGCTGACAAAAAAGCTTGACCAAAGCCCACAGATCTATGAAACTCATGCCTACCTTTGAAGAACTTTGTTGTCTGTAAGAAAAACCACAAACCCACACACTTCCTTGCTTTAGGTATTCTAAAAGGATGGTCTTACAAAACAACAAGAGATTTGGTATTAAGTATGGTCTGGTTTCTCTTTGAGCAGGTATATTATGTAACAATACTTGTTAGGATTTCTTTAAACTTACTTTGGCATGAGGTCTTCCTTTTATATGAGAGTTGAGGAAAAATATTAAAGAGTTATGCATCCAATTCAAACTTGTTCCAAAGACAAGGGAGTATTTGTCATTGTTAGCAAGTGGGAGAATTTAAAGGCTTTAATTACAGAAACATCTGTATTTTTTTCTCTCCATCTCATACTATGCCAACGTTGCCAATTCCTGGTATGAATTATTTTAGGTCATCTCTCTAACTGAATATTTGGTGTAATAGTTGGTCTTCAGTGATGAAACTGAAGTACTGGTGAATTTTAGATGGTTTCAATAGATTTGTGTTCCCTTTTGCACCTTTCTGAGTGTTGTGTTTTCCTGCTAGATAACCTGTGTGCCAAAAAAGTGGTTGTGTCTGGCCTCAGCCTGCATTCCAACATTGCTCGCCTCGTGGATGGCCACGTGGTGCTAAACGACAAAGGAGTGGAAGATGGAGCCGTAGGGGAAATAGTCTTTAGGCGTGCTCTGGCCATCCTCATGTGTGCCACCTACAGAAACCAGCTGCTGAACGTCTTCGTGCGTCCATCCCTGGTGGCAGTTGCCTTGCAGATGACACGCAGCTTCAGAAAAGGTAAGTTTGGGTAGCTCTGGGAGCCCACTGGCATTGTTCCTTGCACTCTCAGCTGTGAGAGGAACATGAGCTTCCTGCAGCTGCTCGTGGGAGCTACACAAGACCATTGAGCAAGGTCCCATGGTGTAAGGTGCATATGTTTGGAGGGGACAGGACTCTTGCCTTTTTTGTTTGTTTGCCCTTTGATACTTTTGAAATTAGGTATATTCTGCTGAGAGGGCAGGGTTAAGAGGAGCTGGTCACGGTTCCTAAGTGTTTTATTTTGCTGGCATTTAGCAGATGAGCTTTATAGGCTACAAATTACAGCTCACGCTTGCAGCCAGTTCTCCGTCTGTCTTCTTTTCCCACTGCTGTTTCTGAAGTATTTTAATACTTTGCAATACTTAGCTCTTAAACCTTCCAGAACACATACCTTAGTTTTGTGCAGTGTCTGATAGTGATATTTAATGCATCTTCTGAGAAGCTACCACCCAATTTTGGTAACAATTGACTCAGTCAGAGTGATTCAGGCAAGTACTTGCTGTTCTTTTGTTTTATTTGAAGTAGGTACTCTTATCTAAATTAAGGAGTAAATGGCTTTTTATTTGCATGTTTTAAATGACATTTTTAAACAACAGTACTTCACTTTTTTTTTTTTTTTCAGAGGAAGTCTATAGCTGCTTCAGCTTCTTAAGAGATGTTTTTTCTGATGAGTTCATCTTCTTTCCTGGAATTTCATTGAAGGTAAAAACATCCTTTATACAAAAATACTGGTAGCCAGAAATGCAGGTAACTAAAATAGCATCTCATTTCAGGGCTCTGGCCAACAGGTGCTTTGTGGTAAACATCTACAGTGTTATCAATTTCATCTGTTAGCGGGAGAGAGAACTTAAAAGGAGGTCATTTGGTCAGTTGCTAAACATTAACTGAATCCATAAGTTTGCATGTGCAACCTTTCCCCCCTCCTCCCTCCAGCAGAAAATTAAAAATCCTGAAATTGACCAGTTCTGAACTATTAAAATTAACTGTCTCAAAAGTCTGACTTTTTTGCATAAAGCTACCAGTCTTCCAGCTCTGATATAAAAATATATGTAAAGCAGTCTCTTAACTGAAATGTAAATACCATCCTCTTGAATCTGCAATTATGAAAGAGACCTTAGGCTGTGAAGACAAAAGTGTTAATGCAGATTTAATTGAATTCTGTCATGGAGTGGATGGGTTCTGTCAGTGCAGAAGCAAGACAGGAATTCTCATTGATAGTACACCAGGAAAATTTTTCCTAAAAGCTCCTTGTAGACTGTGTAGCAGAGGGGCACTGCTGCTCTTCCAGTACGTTAAACTAGGTATTATACCAACTAATGATCAACCATTGTATGCTCTTACTATCTCTGACAAACAAGGTTTGCAGTTCTAAATTTCAGCACCTGTTGTCCTCTGGTTGATGATGCTCCTTCTAATGCAGCCGTGATCGGTTGCTTTGTGCAGCTCCACGCGTGTGGTCTGTGATGGCAGGGCCACCAGAGGACTCTGCCAACACCCAGAGCCTCCTCTGCTGGAGCACATCTGTGTGCAGCCCCTCCTTGACCACGCAGCATGGCCATATCTGCTCTGTAGTGCTTATACAATGGCCAATGCTCCTCTTACATGCTCCTTACAATGCTCCTCCTTAGAGTCTTGTGGAAGCTTTAGTTGCATTCTGTTTTCTTGGAAGGAGTTTCCCCTTGTTTCACCCCCCTGCCCCATACAACCATTACTCAAAGCTAGCATTGTTTCCTGCACCCTGCCTTATTACAGGGCTCAGTATGTCTCTGTGCTTCTCTTACATTCTCAGAGAATTGGATGTTTTTTTAAAAGGCTGATTGGCACTGTTATGTTTAGTTTTCATTATTACTGCTTGCAGCTTTTTTTAAGCACTCAAGCCAAGCAGAGAAAAGGAATTTGACTATTACTGACTTGATGGAAGTCAAATGAAAGAGTTGCTATAATGTTAAGGGATCTCTTAGCAGCTCACCCCTCTAGTTATCCATGTGTCTGTCATGTCATGTTTTCTGTGTCCTGTGTTCCCTCCCCCTTATGCTGATATTGGCAGTAAAATGGTTTTGTCATTGACATTTCCATAGTCTGTAACTTGTGGCCATTGTCTCGCCTCTTGTAGAGGGCAGGTCAGTGAACTACGTTACCATTTATCACAAACAGTGGACATGAGATAAACACAAACCCTGACTTTAAAAATAAATGAATGAGTGAAAACCACCTGCAGTGAAAACCCTAAGCCAGACAACCTGACCCTATTTGGACAAAATCCTGAGGGATTTCAGGCTGGCTCTTACACTAGTAGCCACAACAGCTTTCTTTGCTCCTAGGCCTGTTGTGCACTGCATTTAAAACATGCTCCTACTGCCTCCTTATAAGGGTATTTCTCGTATATAGGAAAATTTTGGTTTGAGTGTCTTGAGAACCGAGTTCAAAAATGGAAGTGGTGTCATGTTGTGTGTTTTTTTTGTGTGGCAAAACGCAGCTGCACTTACTGTAGATACTAAAATCTGTCATGCTTCTCTCCCGCAGGATTTTGAGGAAGGATGTTTTCTGCTCACAAAATGTGATGCCATTCAGACAAGTCAACAGGAAATCTATCCTACTGACAAAGGAAGTGCTACAGTATCTTTCTTGTCAGCTATGTTCAGACCTTTTGTGGAAGGTTATCAGGTACATGATAGTTCTTCAGAAAACTGTCTCTTTTTCATCCTGTGTTTTATAGGGAAACAAGAAGAGCTGTGATACTTCTGCATTATAAATAGTGACTATCTGCATGACAGTGCAAGAGTTGAGAAATAGCACTAACAAATACCTTAAACACCACCTTCTGCCTGATACTAGCTTTTCCCTCAGACTTTCCAACTGACTCAAGCAGTAACTACCTTGTAATGTGATGACCCATCACGGGTTTGTGTCATGGGGAGTGTGCTGCTACCAGGTTCATTGCACTTTCTTACAAGGAGCTCTTGCATAATTCATTTTATGTTGGCTATTGTTCATTTTTCCTGCCCAGGTGTGGAAATGAGGTTGCATCTCATATCTGATGGCTTTTTGTGAGTCATTAATTGTATCCATACCTTTTAAAATTCTTCTGGTTTTCCAAGGTTTTAATAAGACCGAACACTTACATTCCTGTAATAAGCAATGTATACAGAAACAGGAGGCTAAAGTCTCAAGTGTGTTAGCATAACGTTGGTGAGACTGTAGGTGTTTGGACCTAGCAGAATCTGTTAATGATCTGGTGTGTGATTTGGCTGAACTGTACTGATTTGCCCAGTTTTTCTCACCTGTTAAACAGGCATTGCTTTAAAAAAACTATACTGTTTTTGACTGTGCGAATAGGAATGTTAAATTAATGTCTAAGGTAATTACTGTCTAAGTAATTAGACAGTAATACTGAATCGTATTTTAATTTTGGGATTCTCATGACTGTTAAACAGTAATAAAAATTTCAGATGTCCTATGTAATTACACCTTTTGAGTTTATCTCCTGCACTTTTCAAAGTGTAACAGTGTGACTTACTTATGGGAGCCCATCTGTTTGCAATAAGCTGACAATCAAAAGTAAAGAGGTGCTAATTTTATTTTTTTTTTTTAATGTTAGTTAATTTTCAGATACCTCTCAAAGGAAACAAAAGAAGCCTTTACTGAGAAGCAGTTTATACCTGGAGTCCGCAACTTTGTTTTTCAGCTTCTTGAGAAGGGTTTGTATGACTGTTAGGCAGTATGATTTTACAAGGGTAGCCTGTTAAAGGACCACTAGTGATAAAACTTGTGTTTCTGCTTCCTCTGTAGGGAACACGCAGTGTTACGAAGCTCTGTCTTCAGACATGCAGAAAAATGCCTTGGCAGCTCTTGTGCAACTAGGTGCAGTGAAGAAAAAGAAATTGTAAGTAACGTTGGCCTTTTGGTGTGTTTAAGTCAGTGTGTGGTCTTGCTGGCAATTTTTAATGACTGAGCTACCAGTATGAAGCTGAACAGGAGAACCCTGACTGCTTGATCACCCGTCAGCTGAAGGCTGGTTGGAATTACCTGAGTCTTGGTGAGGACCCAGGCAGTTCCTTTCTGTACACCTTGTAGAGGCAGAAGTGCAGACCCTCATAGTGAAGACACTCCTGTGAGACCCAGCAACAAAATGCATTAACTCACTAGTACGCTTCTACTGATTGCCTTTACCTTTTGGTTTTTACAAGCTTCTGTCAAGGCTATGATAATAAGCAAAGAGAACAGTCCTAATTTTTAGTAGAAGCATTACTCTTTGTGTTACAATGAGCCTCATCAGGCAATGTAAACAATAATCAGGAATACTGCTAATTTGGGGAGGTTTAAGCACTAAACTCAAACTAATTTAACTGAAAGCTTAGTCATTAAAATCTTTTATTACAGCTCATAGTATATAGGCCTAAGGTTAAAACCCAGCTGTTATGCAAAAATATGGTTACACATGCATTTCCTGTTATCAAATTAATTTGTGTTGTGGTGCTTCTCATTGTATTTAAAAGTATAACTATGGAAGTCCTTGATACAGCGAGTCCTCACATTGTCTTGAGCATTTCACAGAACAGAGCTGGCAGCTGATGACCCTGAGCTCTTTCCTTACACCTCTGTTCATGAAATTAATTGGTCAGCTCTTGGAAAGTGCGCGCAGTACTGTTGTTGTTCCCTCCCCTGCCACGTCGCTGTGCTGAGTAGATGTCTGACGCTAAATTCTCCTCTCAAGTTAAAGGAATAAATCAAGTGCAACAGAATTTGACATCAGCTGAAAATTTGGTTCAGTTTCGGAGAGACAGCCTTGAAAATTGTAGGGTTGAAAACAAACAAATGGTTGGACTAGATGACCTTTGGAGGTCCCTTTCAGCCCAGACTTTCTGTGATTCTATGATTCTCTCCCTGTGGTTGTCTCTGATAAAAATTAAGGAAAGAGAGAGAGATGTGGGCACTGCGAACAAGCAGAAGGATAAAGAAACCGTAGCTGACCTTGAGTTTACAATATGTTTAGAAGTCCTTAAAGTTAGTATATGTTAGGATGCTTTGAAGTCCTTAAAGTTAGTATATGTTAGGATGAAAAATATGACTTAATTATGAAAATGCTTAATTCAGATTATTTGTATAGAAATGACTGGAATAAGAAATATTCATTGAAGAAGCAATTTTTGTCTTTTAACTGTAGGTCCAATGGATTCACTTACAATGTAAATCAAGAGGATGTTAGTAAAATTCTGGACATGTTTGGTAAGTGTTCTCTAATTAATCTGAAGAGAACTTCTCTTACTTGATGATTACTTGATGATCTTAAAGGGTCTCTTCCAACTGTAATGTTTCTATTACTTTGGGACATGGTTTAGTGGTGATGGTAGTGTTGGGCTGATGGTCGGACTTGATGATCTTAGAGGTCTTTTCCAACCTTAATGACTCTGTGATTCTCAAGTTATAAATTACTTCACGCAATGCACGTACATTAGATGTAGTGTTTTGTTCCCTAGAGATTTTTCTGTATAGAAATCCTAATGATTTTTTTTCTTTTTATAATACTTTTTTTGGTGTCATTGACTGCAGCTTTCTATCTCCCTTCTCTGTTTGAAATACCATGCAACCCAACAACCAAGGAAAATGGAGCAAAAAGTAGTTTAATGGAGTGGTATTTACAGCATTTTGCTAAGTGTTTACAATTTTTTTTCCCCATTAGATGCTAGGATACCCGTACAGAAACCTGTGGCTGCACGACTCTGAGTGGTTCCTGGTGCCAGGGACTGGATCCACATGCCTGCTGAGAGCACCCAGCACCCGGCCAGCCTGCGAGCCCAGGGTCAGTGGGGTGCCCTCCAGAGGCGGGGCTCTCTGTCACCCCTTACAAACTGTTGGCGCCGAGGGTGGAAGTTGTATTTGTACCCTCACTGTATTTTGCTTTTTTAAACAGATTAAACATTATCCTTTTTTTTTTTTTGGATAAATATTTAAAGACACATGCACAGTAATGGCTACTTAAATACGTTTTTCTAGACTTGTAACGAGGAAGGTGGTTGATTTCAGGTATTTTGTGGATGTGAAAATGTAACCAGGGAACTAAAAGACTTGCTATTAAAATTACTATTTAGAAAAATGCTTTGCTGGCTGGCTGAGTGTAACATAAGCACAAATCCAATCTTGGACAACAACCAGAAATGCTTATTGTGCTGAGTTTGTTTTTTTTTTTTTTTTTAGGCAAGCTGGCATTATTTTAATTACTTCATGAATGTTGTCTTTCAAACGCGAATTAAAGCGGCGTTGCTAACGTGTCTGTTGTTTCACCGCTGCGCGGCAAGGCGAGGCCGGCGG